TCATTTTCGCGTATTTATTGATTGCGAAGCTTTGAATAGTTGGAAATGGGCCAGTCGGTTCCCTTTGGTTCGCTATCCTTGTCCAGGCATACGTGATCTTTTGGATCATCTATTCCCTGGCGGGCGGCACAGTAGCCATGCACCGAATACAGATATCCGTGTTTGCTGGTGTGGCTTTGGTCCTCGGAGTTGAGGGTGTCAACAGAAACATATTCTCCAGTGTCAATTCACAACAAGCGCTAGCAGCCGGATGGCTTGTCTCCGCGATTGTCGACATTCTTTGGATCGTCTACTTCACGTCGGAAGAGAACTCAAGGGTTCGCGCTATTGGTCAAATTCCCGATCCAGTGCAGCCACCTACAAGGCCTGTCTCGGCATATAGCACCTACCCGCCGAGCAACACCTCTGTTTTGCGGGACAGTCAGGCGGGGGCTCGCTTATCGGCAAATGTGAACCCCGCGGCGGTGGCAAGGAATACTGCTGGCCGTGGCGGCGCTTCGGGCATTCAAAGAGCCTCGGGCACTACTCCTGCCATCTCTCCGTCCCCAGCAGCTGGTCCAGCAAGCGCTGTTACGGCATCCATGGCCAGCAACCCCTCCAATCCGCCCCCCCAGGCGGCCGCTGATAACAGCGGCGCGACTACCGCTGTCTCTGGTCGATCTGCTCTCGGATCCGTCGCTATACATCAAGCGGAAGGTTTATTTGATTGTAATGTTCCATGCTCATACATTCGCATAACCATTGATCATGGTTCTCAGATAAGCATCAAGACCCTGGTGAACTATCCTTCTCAAAGGGCGAGGTGCTCGAATCATGGAGAAATCCGGGAAATGGTGGGAAGCTAAGAAATCCGATGGTTCTCGTGGAAGTGAGTTTCCCCTTTTTATCTCGCTGCAACCATTGATTTTTTTCTCAAGTTGTCCCTTCCAACTATTTGCGAATTCTTTGAATACCACTCCCTGTATATTGGTGACGTGTGACGATTATTCCTTTTTGCCTTCCCTAGGTTCCGTCTCTCACTCCAGCCGATCCCAGTTTCCTCCCAGACGCGGGAGCCATTCCTGTGGTCTTGATTGCTTAATGAGATGGTTATAGCTTCGATCCTTTAAATTAGCTCATGCCGCTTGATCATTCTGCACGACAATGTATGAATAGACCGATCCAAATACGATTGAACACAAGTGTGGGCATCCTCAGGAGGGTATACTCTACTACCCTGGTGCTCTAAGGCTGCATTGTTCATGTTCAATTACCGCATACCCTGAATTACGTAGTTTTCGTATCATCTAAGCGAAAGTTGCAGACAAAAGAGACACGTGATGTATGAGGCCGGAACCAGCTCTGAGCCTGAGACGTCTCAGCGAGGAAGCACCGGACACAAATCGGGCACTGCGAATCTTCAAACAGCATTCGTATAAAACCCCAAATGCATTCCAATGACATTGCTGATTTGTTGAATCTCTCTCCACTGCCATCATGCCCGAATTTTCCAATACCATCATTAGCCTTTTCCGCACCAAGAGGGAGGCCACAGAGCAGGTGAGGAGTGCAAGGATTAGCAGAGTATTCGAATCATTAGCTTTAGGGAGGATTATTGAGTGGAAAAGATCCCTCAGCCTACAATCCAAGTGATCCGATTCGTCTTTGGATCATCCAAGTTGGTGAGCTTCAAGGTTCCCCCTAGTAATCAACGTCCAGATTAACAATCCTTCAGGTGTGATAGTCATGACTGCAAGCTTGCTGTCACTAGGTCTACGCAGGCTTAGACAGCCCATGGTCATTGCTGAGGTTCTTGGGGGGATATTGCTTGGTGAGCTCAGCTTGAATCCAAGGTGTAGCGTCCAGGGGTCTGACGAAACGTAGGGCCAACTGCATTTGGTAGGTGCCCACTGATCTACTAGCGACTTTGTTAACCGTTGGGAAACTAAACATCGGATCTACTAGGACGCATCCCTGGCTTCACGGAGCATGTGTTCCCGACCGATTCCCGACCCTATCTCAATCTTGTTGCCAACATTGGACTGTGCCTATTCTTATTCCTCGTCGGTCTTGAAATAGACGGCGGAATAATCAAACGCAATGCACGCCTATCTGCCACAGTTGCCCTTGCAGGAATGATCCTACCTTTCGGGTTTGGCGCGGGTCTGGCTGTTCCGCTTTATCACGAATTCATCGACCCGAGTATCAAATTCACCCACTTTATGCTATTTACGGGAGTGGCGTACTCTATTACCGCATTTCCGGTTCTCTGTCGTATCTTGACCGAGCTCAAGCTCCTCGATACCACCGTCGGGATAGTCGTTCTATCTGCAGGCGTTGGAAACGACATAGGTGCGCGCATATGCAAACTGTTACCGTTCTATCGTCATTCGATTACTCAGTTGGGTGGACCCTCCTGGCACTCAGTGTGGCCCTAGTGAATGCTGGATCAGGCCTCACCGCGTTGTGGATACTGATGACTTGCGTTGGATGGACGTTATTCCTTCTTTTCCCCGTCAAAAGGGCACTTAGATGGCTAGCACGAAAGACCGGCTCCAGTACGTCATTTGCTAAACATCACCTTGATTTTTCTAATTGGCGTTGTAGTTGAGCAAGGTCCTACGGTATTCTTCATGACCGTCACGATACTATTGGTGTTTGGCTCTGCATTCTTCACCGACGTCATTGGCGTCCATGCGATATTTGGTATCATCACCTGTAGATTGTCCTCTGTCCTGGTTCTGATGATCGCCCTGAATAGGTGCATTCGTAGCTGGCATTATCATTCCAAGGGAAGGCGGGCTCACTATTGCACTCACGGAGAAATTGGAAGACATGGTCTCGATAATCTTCCTTCCACTGGTGCGTCCCGTCCAGCTACCCTCCGAGCGTTGGCTCATCGAAACAGTATTTTACTCTGTCTGGATTGTCCACGGACCTTGGTCTGCTGAACAACGGTCAGTTCGACCCGTCCGAGTCTTGATTCCAAGCTAAATTGGGTACTAGGTATAACTTGGGCTTACACAATCGCAATCATGTCTCTTGCCTTCACTGGGAAGTTCGGGGGGTGCACACTTGCTGCTCGGTACTTTGCTGGCTTCAATTGGCGCGAAGCCAGCGCCATTGGATCTCTCATGAGCTGTAAAGGGTAAGCATTGGCGGGGGACGACGTATGCCATTGATTGAATTCCTATTAGCTTGGTCGAGCTCATTGTATTGAATGTTGGGCTCTCGGCAGGCATCCTATCCCAGGTAAGATCCACCTTCCGCGAAGCATATACATGTTGATCGTCCATCGTCGGCTAGCGAGTCTTCTCCATGTTCGTCCTGGAGGCTCTGGTGCTTACCTTCATGACAACCCCGCTCGTGGTGGCGTTTTACCCACCTCGCTTGCGCGTCCGCATCACAGCTACAGGAACCTTCAATAACGTTGCTGATGATAAGGCGGGGCAAAGACAAGACCAAAAGTCTGGGTACAGTGAGACCTTCTCTCGAACACGATTCACAGTGGTTTTAGACAAGCTCGAGCACCTGCCCAGTATAATGGCTCTCACGCAACTCATCCGGCCTCATGACCGGGAACCAACTCGGCCAATCCGCTCCTCGGGGGAGGGTCGATCTTCCGCCTCATCCTCCAGGGACTCCCCTCGGTATCCATTGTCTATTGAAGCCCTCCGCTTGATAGAACTGTCAGATCGTGTCTCTGCCGTCATGAGATCATCGGCCTCCGATACGATACTGCACACCGACCCGCTGCTGGCCATATTCCGGATGTTTGGCCAGCTCAATGATCTGCCCATTACCCCCTCATTATCTATCGTCCCTTTCGACGACCTGTCTCACAGTGTGGCGGAGCACGCCTACAATCATGGGTCCGAGATGATCATGCTCCCCTGGCTACCACCATCTTCCGACACTGTAGATGATGCCGTGTATGATACTCCCCATACCCCAAAACCCCAGACGCCTAGGACGCAATCCAATAATCCATTCGATGCTCTATTCAAGGCCACCAACAATCCGATTGACAAATCGGCCTCTGCTCTGCACTCGCAATTCGTGCGCGGTGTATTCTCGCACGCGAAGACAGACGTCGCGCTCTTCGTTGACCAGATTGCAGCTGGTTCGGCCACCTGCAATGCTCAACACATATTCCTTCCATTCTTCGGTGGCCCAGATGATCGATTGGCCCTCGAATTTGTTGTGCAGCTTTGCGAGAACGTCACAATCACGGCTACAATTTTGCGTCTCATTAAGAAAGAAATGGATGTAACAATGGAGAAACCGCCGAATGCCCTGATCGACGACGGAGGTGCGGAAGAAGTCAATGTGCGCACTATAGCTTCGGTATGTCACCATTCAATGTTATCAAAAATGTGACGAGACGATGTTGGTTGCACAGAACATCGCTGGGTTTCCGGACACGGTCTATGGCCGCCAGAATACGGAGGTTCGCATGCAATCAGAAACGGCTGACAACTTGATATGGGCGCAATATTCGGCGAAACCAGAGGCAGATGGCCGGATATCACCGTCATCCCGCATGTCAGGACGGGTTGCTTTCAAGGATCTTGCTACCCCTATACCCCTACATGCTGCCATACATGAAGCCACCACGGAGATAGAGTCCCTGCACCGGACAAGGTTGCTGGTTGTGACAGGCCGATCAAGGAGATTGGCGGTGGAAAATCACCGCGATGAATTGAAGGATCTCATGGAGGAGTATGGTAATGTCGGGGCTGAGGTCAGGAAGACGATCGGAGATGTGGCTGCCGCTTTTGTTGTCGCGGGATGTGGATCGGGTATTCTTGTGCTTCAGGCTGCAACGAATCTTGGAGCTTGAATTTTGCAAGCTTAATGACACTTGAGGATGACGCCGGTGCTGTCACATACCCATGTAACCTAAATAACTTGTATCAATCTTGTATATATTTCCCAAAGGGCACTCCGGGAAACTATCCATACCAACTACTATTTATCCGCCAAGATAGGGGGCCAACGAAAAAATATTCAAAAATGAATGGACACACCCGGGATTGAACCGGGGACCACTCGCATGCAAAGCGAGCGTGATAACCACTACACCATGTGCCCGTTGGATTGGGAGTCGCCTTATCCTTTATGTTCACGCCGGTTACACACGAGCGCCGATCCCAGGCATCCATGCAAGAATTCATCCTCACCACACTCTCAGGACAAGAACCGAATGGCGTGGTATGTTTACATCCACATGGACCACATGTAGAAATCATCAGGGCGATAGGTACAATACTCTCCATAGCACCGCCATCGTCTCCCTGCCTGAGGCCACCTCTGCCTTGGGTCCGGAATGCGCATGTGTCCGTTTCCGCAGAAGCTACGAATGGACGGCACGCACACTGCAACGAGCGCCATGACTGTCCAGAGTACGGGTCGTTCGCACCTTCTGCATCGAGTAATGGTAATATCATTCAACTTCCATTGCGCAAGGCTTGCGCGGTATGCGTTATCAGCGACCGTGGACCCCGGTGCCTGTTGGTATGAGGGGGTGAAATTAACACAAGATGGGGATAAACAGGCGGACTAACGTGGATAGATGTAGGAGGCAATGTGAGATCCTCGGCCCCCACATGAAGCGTCAGCGATCGAAGTCTTGGGAGATAGAAAGCCAGCAGGAGAATCAGATCAGCATCAAAGCTGCGTTGGGAAAGTACGAGGGTTTTGAGACAATTTTCAGCGGGAAATGAAGAGAGAAAGTTAAAAAGGTCCGGGCGTGGTAAAATATTCTGGATGGAAAGTTTAACCAGAGAGTGTGATATGGCGTGAAAGAAATGACTTGTGTGATCCTGATTGGTGACCAAGGTGACCTGAGCGATCTCCAGCGAAGCAAGGTTTAGAATGCGGAGTTCCGGGAGTTCGAAAGGTGCAATGAGGGTTGGGAAAGATAAATTAAGGTGGTGGATTCTATCCTGGTGTTTGTTCAGAAAATCGAGGGTACCGTGAGCGGCAGTGAACGGCGTTCCAATGCTTATGGCCCGGATGGTCAAGGAGTGGAGGCGTTCGAAGTTACATAGTCGCTGGAATAGCCAATCGAATAAAGGAAACACGTTGCCTTCAATGGAAAGCTCTTCAAGAGTTCCATGGAGGCTGTTCGTGAATTCACAAACGGGTGCAAAATAAGAAGGTATATTGACGTTAAGCAGGTTTTGCAGTGTCAAGTTCAAGTGTAACACCCGGAGATTCGTGCACTGGATTTTGGGCGGGGGAACGAATGCACGGAAACCGCTTGCCGGCATGATCAATCTGAGTGTACGGAGGTTGGAAGCGAACGTAGGCCAAGCTTCATGTATTCGCGGTGCTTCATAGCTACCCATGATTGGGTGATTGGAAACTATGGTGTATTCCTCTAGACAAGTGAGATTGCGCATTATTTCCAAGAAAACCTCTATTCGCGACGCGTTCGACATTTCTGGGCAAGGCACGGGTAGTGGTGGCCATTTTATGGGGCGCAGCGGCCGAGACGAAGGGCGCAAGATATAGTTAAGTTTCGTTAGAATGGCCCGGGGTGTGTGCCAGCTGCTGGCTTGTGGGGGTGGATCTAGAATATCGGGTGGTGGCTCAGGCTCATCTGGAAGTTCTCGAAGGAGTTCAGAATCGATGTAGAACGACCTCACGTTACGCGCGGTAGATGGGTCTCTGGTGTTTGGTCAGCTTGAAATATATGGTCCAGAGATTCAGGAGATTATTACAGCAGAGGCTTGAGTTCGCGTTCCCAATTTGAGCATCGGTAGAGCATCACTTCGCGAAGTCGCGCTCTTCGGGCTGCTGCGTAGAACTGTTGATTGACGCTCTTCAATCTATCCAGCGCTTCGCCAGGGATATACGAAAAGATACAGGTCCAAACGTCGGCTGGAAGTGAAATTGTTGGGGCATGTTACCTGGTTTGTGATGCTCAATTCCATCCCCGAGAGCCAAGATATTCAAGGAACTTACCTGGCTTCAGCTAGCTAAGTTCAAGCAGTATGTTCTTGTGGGGGAAGTTGGCAGGTCCTACCTCACGGTTTTATAGACGCCCAAGCCGCTTTAAGTAATTTCGAAGGATGTTTATAATTACAGTGAGCGTGAGTTTCAGCCAAATATCGGCAGCATTAATGATATAGGCTCGGGGTAAAGGTCTTTCATTTAGCCGCTGCCAGACTCACAGAAAACCAACGGTATCCATATCTCCCTATTCGTTATATGAACCCCCCTTTCAGATCCAGTGCCCTTCAATTGCATCAGTAGGAAAGACTTCCACATCCATGCCAAGTTCCCTGAACACCTGTTGAACTGACTCGTTACTCTCACTTGCTTGAGCGGCATCAAGTGCTATGGGAGTGAAGCGTCACCCTCTGCCTTTCGAGAATCCAATATCCGACTCACCATCACCTCTCCCTTCTCCAAGACTTGTCTCGACATCTGCGTCATCCTTCCTTGCGGCAATCAAAAGCAGTTCCGCTCCCTCGTAATCGAGGAGCTCGGGAGTCTCGCAGCTGGTAAAGCGCAATCCGTAGGATTCTCTCCCTTTAGTCCCTTTGCCAAAAACATCACGAAGGATGTGGTCGGGGTAATCGGCCCCCTTCCCGTGTGCCTGCCGTGGGCCGTAGCTGGTGCGAGCGGGTTTTTAGCCTGAATTACAAACGAGGCTGCTTTGTGGATGCCTAGCGAGACCTGGACATCGCCCAGCTCGGCTGGATGGGAAATGTGGTAGCCGAGATGAGCTTCACGTTGCGATGGCACCCGGGGGTCGTTGTTGACAATGGCATAAACACCTCGAGCAACAAGCCGGGCAGGTTCTTCATGTCTTATCCCTTCGTGATCATGATGGTCAGGGTGAGGATTTCCTGGGTGACATCTTCTTGACTAACCTCGGGTCTTGGTTTGGTACGACTTCTCGCCCAAGCCCTTCTCTAGCAGCTGCAAATCATCGCCCACACTCGTGACAGTGGCCCAAAATACCCCCCTCTTACCCGCTTGCGGCGCGTTTGTATCAGGAAGCTGTTTCTTTCCGATAGTAATGAGCCGAAAGTGCTGTCTAGGATCATCGAGTGGAGCGGGCGCAGGTACAGCATCTGCACCAGGCTGGAGTATCTTCATTTCTGAATCCGGCTCGCTTTTTTTTGCGTGTTCACTTTGCTGGCTGCTGAAACCAGGGGGGCGGGGACGAGTAACATGTGTAAATTCTTCACTTCGTCAATCGAATGGGCTTCCTTCACTTGAACCCGGGGACGATAGAAGAAATAGATATGCCCCCTCTCGGTGGTTCCTTTCGGCTGATCAGCATTGCTTAGGGTTACCCGGACCGTCTCACCTATGATGCGCTGTGCATTGCTTCCGTGCAACTCCGGCTCATTGGCACCCTCAGTTTTCACCTTTTTAACTGGTGGCTCCTCTGCCAAATTGTCAGCCTTGCCAGGGATGTCGTGCTTTTCTCCAACTTCAGCTTGTGCTTCATGTCTGTTTCTCTGCGTTTTCTTCGCTGCTTGGCTGCGTGTCGTAGGCATTTTAAATATCCGAACACATACACCATGAGATTATATGGATTCATGCACATGTGACGTCATTATGGCACTTGTATGATACACCTACACATCATTCGCGCATGTCCCTGACGGCTCCGCCCATGCGTTCGGAAGCAACAAAATGCTGGCGCTTTTCGAGATCTAGATGGTGTTAGAATTGGAGGGCCGAGCTAAACGACAACCCACCATGCGCCCACATTGCAGCCCCAACACGATTGGAAATGGTAAACACAAGGCCTATGATAGGTAAACCTTCTAAAAGGGCTGCTGTAAAACCGAAGGCTAGTAACGTTAATGTAGCACTACAAATATAATCAAAAGAGCGTACTGCGATAATCCCATTTACGCTCCTCCATAAAGACAGCAACTTCACGTTCCGTCATCTTTTTTGATGCAAAATACTATCATGTAACGAATAGGTATGCTGAGCATGGGCAAGTGCATGGAGCCTACCTGTCGATGAAGGTTGTGGGATGTCCCAAGAGCTTTAAACCAGGCGGCCAAGATTATCCCAATGACGGGATAAAAACCAAACGGAATCAACAAGACTGCGGCTGGATAAGCGTTCCAGTCTTGATATTTCAATGGAGCACTTACCACGTTTATTAAGAACAAGCCTGCACTCCCACCAAGCCATTTATAACGCAAGGGATCAGAAACAGGCGGAGGGTTATCCCATTCCTCTACATAAGGCTTCCAGAAATCGGGTCCTTTCCCTCGGGAAACCATCGTTTGGTTCCAAGCACGTTCGCGCGCGATACGAATGTTCTTGAACAGGAAAAACTTGAGGATGTAGGTTACTTGAGATCCTAGGAAAAGAACAGCAGCATCTGGAGAGCAAATATCAGCACGAATGATGCCATGCGGAAGGATTGACAGACAAGTATGAATGTTGAAGGGAACTTTGAACCCAAATAGGGTGTCGTTGGACAGGCCAGTAACTCGAGGTGAGCTGAAGGCGGATTAATGGCTTTCGAGGATGGGTTGTATATACACACTTGGACAAAAATATTTCGATGAATCCCTTCTGTAGTTTGAATGTCAATAATGACTGTCAAGAGCTCGTAAGGCTGATTGTACTTGAAATAAATGGGTACTACACACCCATATAACCCCCACAATGACCCCGCGTCGGGTTGCATGTCTACACTTGTCCCATGCGGGGACATACAACAGTTTGTCGGTACAGAATCTGTACACGCCAACAATAGCATATGAAGGGGGGAACTCTAGTCGAAAATTTGCTCTAGCAAGATGAGAAGGGACATGTTCTTGGGAGTTGTCAAATAACGCGTTTTGTGCTCCTGGTCCTTGCGATATCGACATTGCGGTTAGCTTGACGGTCCAATCGGGAAATGCCGAGCGCCGGCGTGAGGAAATATTGTCATGACCCTTGCCGCAGTCATGACGCCAATACATAACAGTCATCATGTTCGCCCACGGCTGCAACCAAAAATACCACCATGGCTGATCTGAAGCGCTTGCCCGACGCGTCGGCGATATCAGACGCATCACAGCTTGATATACTGAACCTTAAAGGAGAACCCGTCAAAT